GCCCCAAAAACATCACCTGACCACAAGAACCCAAAACCGCCCAACAACCCACACACACACATAGCACACTCAAACGCCACACACACAAAAAAAAAAAAAAACCAAACAACACCCACACACTATTAAACAACAACAAAAGAAAAACAACAAAAAAAAAAAAAAAGACACCCAACAAAGCAAATCAACCTCACCCCCCGAACGTCACACCCCGCAACACCACCCATCACAGGACCCATATCCCTGTGATTTCCTGGTATCTAAGCATTGGTCTGCTCAGTAGGCTCGTCATTTTCGAGCATCGCTGCCTTCGCAACTTAGCTCATGTCTGGTGGGAGCATCGCGTGAGCAATGAGCGTGTTCAACGTCGCGTATTTGGTGCAGGAAGAGCGATTGAACCGCGCAGCACCATTATATCACGCACCAGGCTCCGATGGTTGGGCCACGTATTGCGCATGCCAGCACACCGACCTCCGCGAAGTGCATTGTTTGCGCGTTGTGGATGCGGTTGGAAGAGGAGGGGAGGCCAAGCGATGACTTGGTCGAGAGATGAAAACCCTCACTTCGAAGATGGCGTCGGTTGGTGCATCCCGACTGCCTGGCTGGGGTCCAAAGGACGGTGAACACGTTTGGTTGGACACACTTGCTGATATGGCTTGGAGCCGACCTCAATGGCGTTTGTGTTGTGAGTTCCTTTGTCCATCCCCCTCCAATCACTATCTAACTCGTTAGGCATAATATAACTCTCTTCTTACGGCACGAAAGCCAGCTGTTAGCTCTCCGGAACGATGTCCATCCGTTACTGGGGATTTAGCAGGCGTGCCACTGTTTGTTTTCCTTTTCTTGTCTTTTGTATTGCGGCACAATAGCTGAGGTGTTTACCACCTTCAGCTAACGTGTATAACAATGATGATGATCTGCTCAGTAAAACTGCGTCCGAAAAAGCTTAAAAAGGCCACTTACCACAGACTGATGTAACTGTATTAGGGGGACAAGTAGAAATTCAAATCTACACAACTCCATCGAATTATGATTGAAAACGTTAAAACGACAAGAATTGTCTATGACCTGTCAACATACTGATCGCCTCCACGCGATGTCGTAAAAAATGCATGACTCACAGCTGTGAGATATAATTGTCAACAGATAATCGTTCTCGGGATCGTACACTTGTGAAGTGTACTTCCAACAGTCTTAAACCGCTGAATTATGCTCCGGCAAACTGCTCCGAACACTGACCACTCGCCGTTCAACGCAAATTGCGTGGAAAACTCATTTCGTCTCCGGAAACACAAACTTCCACTGGTGTCGATGTGTACTGCGGAGTGCTTGCGAGTGGAGCAGTGGCCTCAGTATAGGGAAATCACCTAGATGTAGATTGAAGTCAACTTCTACAGTCCCAGTCTCTCGCACCAGTGTTCGTACCGTAAACCCCGTAAACTGCGGATGAGTCTGGTGGTGATGACGTGTTTGACCTGTTCGACGTTCTACGCCTCGTCTCGAGTGGTCGGAGAATAGGTGGGCGGGCACAATACCCTAGCATTAGACGAGCGGCAACCTCTTCAGACCAGATGCAGAAGATGCGTTTGAACTCGCACAGTATGCGCACACCGTTTCGTTGTAGCCAGTTCGTGTTGTCCACGGACTTCAAATCTTAACGTGAGTGTACACCTAGGTACCTTACGGAAGGTGTGGGATGTAGCAGCTGGCCGTCAAGAATGTAAATTCGGCTGTCACTACCCTTCCCAGGTTCATGAATACCGGCTTGGATGAGCTGACCGGGAGGCAGACTTCTGCAGACCACATGGAAAGAGGGTCGAGGTCTTGCTGAAGTAGGCCGCAGTCGTCGAATGTGCTTATCACTCTCCACATTTTCAGATCGTCTGCAAGTAAAGCACACAGTGACGAAAGAAGCTTAAGTAGATAATTGAAATAAATCAGGAGCAATGAGGGCCTCAGAACCATGCCTTGTGGTACGCCCTGGTCGAAGGATACCAGTCGATTAGGTGGCCATTGACTTGTACCCTCCACTTTCGTCCAACGAGTAAGTCCTAGATCCACTGGTGCAGAGGTCCACCAACACCGCGCACCCGTACAATGAGGATGTCAAAGTCATTGATCTTAGTTCCACACACACAACAAGTCAATACTTAGGGCCTCTAACATGCGTGCGAGTGCAGCCTCTTAGCGAGTAGTAGGGTTTTATTGGGTTTTTGCGAAGATTCGCCATAGCTGGACTCAGGTAGGCAGCCATTACACATCCAGAAATGCGCTGCGACGGATATTCACAAAAGCCCAATAAAATCACCCTACTACTGGCTAATAATCAGTGATCACCTTGGCAGCTTACATGCCATCTAGATTGGTGACGGCTTGCAAGGGAAGTCGTTGCTCTGGGGGCAAGGCCCGCCATCTGCACGTTCGTGACATGCATAAGAGTAGGGGATGAGCAGTACTATATCCCAGTTAGATATCAGTCATGGTGGTCCAATGCGTCGCTGGCTCGTAAGGTCGTGAGTTCGAATCCAGCAGGAGTCGGCAGGTGCGCGTTACTAACGAGTCCCATTAGGACGAAACAGCCGTCTAGCACTTTCCTGAATGCATGCTGGCTGTCTGCTTGAGTCTAACCGCGATGAATCTTCACAAAAGCCCCTTGATCTACTTGTCCACCTGTTATGGTGGCTGAAAGCTGGGACGAACCGAACCGCCTGCCTCAATGCGGTCGATAAGGCGATCAATCGAGTGGGCGAGTGAGTTTTAATTACACAGCTAGTTGTACTTTTGCCTCAGATTTGTGAATAGAACGTTTATGTGCAGAGTGAGGGCGAGTTCTTTCTGTCGACGTGGCTGGGTGAACCAAGCACAAAACATGGTGTCACAGGTAAAAACGTGCCAAAACTTGCTCGTCATTGAGGAGCAATCAACGATCTCATTGCCAACCTCGCTAGAGATGAGAGAAAGCACGTTGTCGGACAACTGGAAAGCGTGGAAAGCGGATTGGATGGAATTCGCGGTGCTGATCCAGTTGGATGAATATGCAAGACCATACCAGTTGGCAATGTTCAGATACTCCATCGGCTCTGAAGCAAGTCGGATAATGGAGGCCTGGGATCTCCGGGATATTGAACCGGATCTTTTGGAAATAATCGAGCGTTTTGTAGGACACTATGAAGGTCGATTGTATTCTTTTTACCCACTGCTGCCGAGTGGACGAGAATCGTTCAGTCGAGCCTGAAAGCGATCAACAGTCGCAAGAGCAATTACCAAAATTTTACTCAGATGGAAATATCAACACCAAAGGAGGCCATTCTGGAATAAAAAACACTTCATACCGCACAGGTCACAAGAGATGATCAGATCTGAAACGTGGGAAGAAATGCTGTCACAAATCCGAGGAAAAAGTGGCTCCGATACTTGTAGAAACGCTGGTGACAAAGGTGGGATGGTAATTCGGAAATCACCGATCCAAATCTGCATAGGTGTACTAGGAACCGGTGGTGTAGTCGCGTCGGTATGATGCGCCAGCGTACTTCTGGTGTCTTCCCGTGAAAGATGAGAAACAATGGGATGACGGTTGCAAAAATCACACGTGATGGTAACTGGTTGTTCGGACGCGAGCGAAATCGAGCGTGACTGGTGGATGGGAAGTCGACGAAACACAACCCACGCGAACACTGACCACTGTCGTATGGGTCACAGAGTCGCAACAGGGAATCCATACGGTCTGTCACAGACGAACAGTAGTGTGCTCGCAGGCGAAGGCGAACCGGATGGACTCGTAAGACAACACAATGGCGAGTGGATAGTACTCGTGCGTAAATGAACCTGCTCTGACGACACTGCATGCAAAGTGAACGGGCGAAGCTGATGCCGCCAACCGAGTGGACAGCACGCAAGTCAAGTGCCGCACACGTTCGCTAGATGCACCCTCAATGCGACCTAACACGCTCATCAGCGCGGTCACGGACAGGGAAGAGGTGAGTTGGACCGATCCGAGTGGACGGACGGCAAGTACGGATCAATGAACATAAGCGACAACGGGAGATAGCTAGTGGCGAACTGCTGTAGTGTTCAGAAATAAAAAATTATATCCAGACTTTGTTCGTGACCTTCAGAGAACTGTAGGACACCATGGGATGTGCGAAAAGCAATACGAGGATGTGGCCACTCAGATAAAGAAAGAAAACGAAAACTAGTGCATTCTGCAAGTACAAAAGGGGAGAGGGGGCGGCCACCACAGTAGTAGCTCACTTGCACACATCTCACGACCTTCATTGAGTCTGTCTGTAGAGATGAGACCAGTGAGAGGCTTTTCCGTGTCAGCGGTATCCGCCATGAAAACGGGCTAAAAGGGAGCAATTGATGACCGGTAAATAAAGAAAAGAGCCATCGGAAATAAGAACATTGTGTGAGTGCCGCAAAACACAGCGTGTAGGATAGAGAAGCGACGAACGGCGAACACGATACAAAGGTTATTGTAAGTCATCGAGAATTCATCACAAATATTTTGTACTTATGTACCATAAGAGTCCTACAGATAGAAAATGGTTGCACATGCAGAGAAGAGTGCCCTGAGGTGAAAACTAAATGACCGAGACAGACATACAGGGTCGAGGGGTCTACAAATCTGGTCAATGACACACAGCTGGCCACTGTGCGAAGAGAAGAAGGCAATTGTAAGACGGTGTCCTTACGGCTACGTGCCATAATTCGCGTTACTTTGTGGACAACACAGAATCAGACAAAAGCACCTATGCCTGAGACAATGGCAAACATGCCGTCGATGCCGGCCGCGAGTGGTGTTCCGCATAACATCTTAATCTAAGCACATGGTTGGTGTTATAACGACTTGGTTGCACCGAATCTCCTAGTCGAAACGAAATTACATAAATGAAAAGTAGCCGACAGAATTCACTTTGTATGACCCGTGAGACTTAGTCACCAAACGCTTTCTACGCGCGAGCTTAAACGAGCGACTAGAGCGAACCTAGAACACACGCGTCTACACGAACCCGAGAGAGAGAGAGAAACAAACAAAAATAGCTCTCCGCAGCAGGCGCTTTTAATGACCCAGAGAAAAGCGAATAAAAGGTTGACTAGCTCCAAGAGTGGTGGCGTATGTGATTTTTCACACAGCACAGCGCGTAAGCTAAACCAGGGCGCGAGGCGTGATCAAGGGAATTGGCGCAATGTAAACGTAACGTGTCGGGAACAGGTTGGTCGGAAAATGTGCATTCGCCGACTAGGCTGGTCAGAAAAAATACGAATTATTGTAAATGCGGAGACCGGAGAAAAAGCGCACATGGAAATATGCTAGATCGATTGCTTGGCACTTACTCGATTGCCCTACGCACCAAAGCACACGTGATCTATTCACAAAACTCAGCAGACAGGACACTGCTCCCCTACTGCCGTTTGCCGAAGCCGCAGCGATTTGGTGGCTCTAACGCACATGGTGTTGTCGTGGACCAAGGGCAAACACTACTGCACCAATTATCAGTAGCGTGGAAAGGCTAAGGGCGAAACGGCAACCAGCCAACAGCAGGCCGTAATGATCCCACCAAAGGAGAGGAACACTTTAGTACCGCAGTTGTATGCGCGCGCGGGGAATGGACGCACAAGCAGTGCACACCACACAAACCCTAGACACAGAAGGAAATCCGTGCCATGCAACCTGGTAAGTAACATGAGGTCAGACTGCTCGGATGGTCCTTCATGTGATTTGAGTGAGTCGCAACGGCAGTTATGTAAGTGTGCTTCAGCGCAGACCTGAGCTTGGGTCTAATGCCACTTGCGATAAGGTAACTTAACTACGTTCGTTTACTTTCTGTAGGTACTACGACCGCAAATGAAGAGAGCAAACGAAATGTTAACATACGATATTTGTTAGAGAGCAGCAGAGGGATTTATTGAGTTTTGTGAAGATTCGTCGCAGTTAGACTCAACCACGACATACTCAGGAGGGTGCCAGACGGCCGCTTCGTTCTACAGGAACTCGTCAGTATCGCGCACCCGCAGAAACCTGCCGCATTCGAATCCATAACCCTACACTTACGAGTTGGTGAATTATGCAATTGAGTCATGGGTGACAACGGCGAACCGCCATGACTTATATCTAACTGTGATATTGCGCGGCTCATCTTCCACTGTCACGCAAACTATGAACATGCAGAGGATAAGGCTGGCTCTCAGAGCAACGATTTCGTTTGCAAGCCGCCATCAATCGATCGAGGAGCACGGGATCTTCCATTTTCTGTGTGTTCATGAAGTGGCACAGAATATTTCACATACCCGAGAACAATGAGGTGGTGACCGCGACAAACTCACATTTTGCAAATCGAATGTGATCTCCAGTTTCTGTCTGAATTGCTTGGCGAACTCTGGATACATTTCCAACACCTCGAAAAGGTCGTCATGCTGGATTTTGTGCAGGTCACAATAGGTAAGTGCACGCACGTAGAATTTCGATTGGCCCATCAAATTCGGACCGAATGGACTCTCACCGAAGACATCGCCTTGACAGAGCACAGCAATGATATCGGTGCCCACGAGTATCTCAATGCTGCCGCGAGCGATGAAACAGACAAAACAGAGTACGTCTCCCTTGTGCACGAGGGTATCGCCCGGGGGCACATGAGTGGTCTTCATCTTAAGAGCCAAAGATCGCAAGCAACCCTGGCTGGCGCCTGAACAAAGATAAAGGGGATAAAGATATCAACTGATGGGGTGAGATTTACATACAAACAGCGTACCAAGACCCAAACTCATAAAACGGTTTCCATCATAACAAGGGACAGCGTACTAAACCAAAATCTAGGGATAAAAAAGTGATAGAAATGTGAGCTAAGTAGCAATGGGGAACTTCACGTAGAATGTTTCTCACTAAGGACTGGGCATGAGCGCACATCGCCAGAGTAACAAGTGAACCGAATTTCCCAATTAATGCGGTTAAGGAATTTCACATTCCAAAGGTGAGAACGTATAGTATCACATTTAGCTGCTTAGACAACTTTCAAAAGTACATATAATAATTCGTTATACATCTCAACTCGATGTGAGCGTGAGGAAAAATAATAACAAGTGAAAGCGCAAACGTTTTGGGAGATGGAAAGAAAATCGACGGGGAGTCACTGAACCGGAGTTACGGTAAATGTGTTTTTAACTGAGAATTCGGTGACCTCACAGTGGGTGAGAGACCAAGAGTGGGTTATTAAATGCTTAGGAAAAACGATCATACGACCACACAAATTGAGTAAACGCCTAGACGTGAATGGAGGACAGCTGAGGAGTGTTGGTGATGTGGGAGAATCCTATTTTGGACCCAAGTACATGAAATCCCGCTTGTAATTCCAAATAAGAATGTCAGAAGACAATGTGCATACTCTTTGGGCACGTATAAGCATACAGCAAATAAAGCAAAATATGATCGCATGAAATCGATTAGTGATCAACGGTTTTCGAATGGCGCATTTCACGTTAAAACAGTAGGCTTAGCGTCATGATCAGCAATTTCTGTATAAAGTGGTGGAACCTGTCAGTCGATAATAATAGCCTCGAGGAGCTTGAGAACGCGAGACCTTTGATTGCACGGGAGGCGGGTGCATGCGGCACGTGGTTCTTTCTAAAGTGGTGCACTTCGAGTGACGTAAATATAGGCAACAGTGATAAACCGCAACAATCGTCATGTTCAAATTAAAGGTGAATTCAGATCCAGTTTTCATAGCACCTATTTGTGATGATGACCAATTTTGATAGTGTGTCGAAAAAATTACTCTCCACTTTACGGTTTTTGAACAGCAACTGCCCCATGACTTCACCAACAAAAGAACAGCAGGTCGGGGATGCTACATTTCCTCCTCTCTTCAATTTTGTGATGGAAACAAGCAAATGATGTTCTTCAGCAACGGTGGGAAGTCGTTTCCTTCCGATAGGGCGAGTTCGCGTTGTATCACTCCAAAAACGTCCCACGAGAGTACAGACAACCCAGCAAACAATGGTGTCACTACAAGTTTGCTTACCTGCTCCTCAAAGTGCTACGCCCAGCAGCCCGGACTGAGAATGAATCAACAGTCCATTCTTCCAAACCGCCGTCTCAATGATAGAGGGCTTTCCTGCACTCGAGCCCGGGAGAGTTTGGACAGTATTCGATTGTCCTCAAAAGTAATGTCTTTTTCCAGTCCACGGGCCCTTGTGATCCGTCAGCGCTGAGGGTCCTAAATCGTTCCAACGTGTTAGAGACGCTCTGAAACCGACTACTAATTTACTTGCTTTGACCAAACTAATCGATATTTCAGTCCATTCACTGTTCAGACAGATAAAGAGGCAGCAGTACAGTTAGTCTGACGGAAGAAGGCCGATGAGCGTGTTCATTTACCTACCGTGGCTCGCTTATGGTGAACGCCGGTCATTTACGGTTGTTGTCCCCAACATCCAATAGCCATCCAATATTTAGCGACCTTCGCAAAATGCGACTGCGTGTGCAGAGACAATAACTTCTCGCTCACCTTAGTGGTGAGGACGTATGGAATTCTCGGCAGACGAGTGATTTAGTGCAGGGCTCAGCTGAGTGCAAGCGTAACCTGGTAAAGACGCACCGACATGAGGCTGTTTTGCTCACCGAGCGAGATGACAGCCACAAGGTGTTTCCGGCGTTCGCTAGCTGTCAGCTAACTTCGCGCTGAGTGCTGAAGGTCATGGCCAACCGTAGGCGTTGGAGCGATCGATGGTTATCTGTGTGTGTCTCGCTGGCTACGCAGCGAAGTCGGCGTAGGCAACCAAAACTGCGGCGTGAATGTGCGCACGTGATGGCAGCTCAGCTGAGAACGAGGTTAAGCATTGCAACTCCTGTCAATGTTAATGAATCACAGGTAATGGAGCACGAGCAGACAATGCAGTCGGGAGCACGTAACGTGCCTGTTACTCAGCGCGGGCTAATTATTCGGCTGTACGGTGAATGCGGTTTAAACGCCGCATCAGCTTTAAGAAAATACAATGCAATGAACGCAGGAAGGCGTCCCGTCACTGCCCGGTACGTGCTTAGAGTAGTGAAGAAGTTCTAGCAAACTGTGTGTGACATGAAGAGAACCGGACTGCCTCGTATCACCAAGGACGACTGTTCAGCTTGCGCTGTAGTCAGTGAAGTGTCATAAAATCCCGATCTCAGCATTCGTCGGATCGCGCAGCAGTGTGACGCGACCCGATATGCGGTACACCGGATATCACTGGAACGAAAATTTCGGAGATTCCGTGCATTTCAAGTGCATGTTTTGAACCCCTGCGATCCGGAGAAGCGGCATGAATTTAGCCGCTAGTTTTTTGGATCACGGGGATATTCGTTCTGTTATCTTTACAGATGAAGCATTGTTTCATCTGCATGGAACAATGAAACATTACTCCTGGGCTACCAGCAACCCCCGAAAATTTACCGCATCACGTATGCACCATAGTGTGAAACTGATGGTTTGGGCTGTATTAACAAGCCAGAAAAGCTTGGGCCCATATTTCTTTTCCGGGAATGTGACCGGTAGGTTGTTGTTTTGAAGTACTAAAGCCTTATCTTTTCCTAGCATCGTCGCACTTGGAAATGCTGCAGACATTTGTGCTTCCCCAGTTGGAGGCCGAAGGGGCATGCAGTACCATTTGGTGGCAGCAGGATGGTGCACCTGCACATTCTGCTAAAACGGACGCGGTGGACCAATGGAGTGACCTGCTCGTTCACCAGATTTGAACCCCATGGACTTTTTTCTATGGGGCTATCTGAAGCGGCAAGTGTACAAAACAAGGCCGCGTACATTGGACCAATTGAAAGAAAATATTGTGAACGAATGTCGCGCGATCACGAGGGATACATTGGAGAAGGTGCTCGCCAATTGCATCAAGCGGTTTCTGCACTGCAAACAGAACACCGGCGGACATTTTGAACATATCCTTCATAAGCATAGATGATCGTTCTAATACATTTCTGTTAATATACTTATCCTCTTTCACAAATGTGTTAACGACTAAATTGGTCTGCTGGCAAACGGTGCTAATGATGCGTTCAGTCGGATAGAATTCTTAAGGTCCAGACTGTCGTTGAGCACATAAACAGCGTAGGCACCGAAACGTTCGATGGCTATTTATGGCGGAATCAATGAGTTGCTATGACCTGACGTTCGTCCAGCCTTAATGAAAAACCGACTGTGTTGTTGACTCAGTTTCAGGCAATTGCCTGTGAAGTTGGTGTTCGGGATTAGTTGCAGTAGGTGGCAACATGTGCAAGTGGGGTCGTTCCCTATGTGGTAGACTAATATGGCGTCTCCACGTAGCCACCTGTAGCGTCTACTGAACACTCCGAATGTTTTTAGTCGCTGCTGGTACGAAAGGTTGCACAATCTCTTGACACATTTTGTTGCTCGACCATGGCGAGTTTCGAGCGCTGCAAGGTCACGGTTTAGCCAAGCATGCCAAGCCTGGATTGCGTATTCGACGTGGGTACGCATGGAGCATCATAGAGAAGATGAATGAATCCAAACTTTCGAATGCAATCCGCAAGCTAACAACGTGCTGGTTACCACTTTTGAAACGGATTCCGACTGTCTGGAATAACCGAAGTCGTCTTGCACCAGCACAGCGAGGTCAAGTTCCTGAGGGATTATTGTCCGCAGGTCATATGCCTCATTTTTATAGAGATAGGCGTGTCTATGGCGGATGTGGATAATGTGTCACTTGACCACATTTAATGGCAGTGAATTCCTCACCGGTCAATGCCAGGTCCCATCTAGGTCGCACATGGAGGATCTTGTGGTCGTCCATTCCCTTGATCGTCGGTCAACTTTCAACATCATCCGTAAAAGTAAAATTTTTTGAGGTGATGGCTCTCGCAAGATCGTGGCACTCCACTCGATTAGGGTCGGGCAGAGATGTTCGGACTCTAGTCTAGAACTGCTGTTCACGGAGAAAATTACCAACCCATCCTAATGCATCACCGACGTTTTTCAAGTAGCCCATCATTACGTCAGCGATGATCGCTTCCATGACTTCGGAAAAGGCAGAGAGAAGTGTCACCGGACGGTAATTGGTAGGATCAGACAGACTTCTCTGAAAGAATCCGGCAAATTGCTGGGCTAGGTGAATGGCTGTTGCCTGCAGTGCTTTAGGGTGAAGGTTATCCACTCCAGGAAGCTGTGTTTACGCAAAGATAGTAGCTTTTTCCGAACCATTTTGCTATGAATTTGATGCTGGATAACACTGATGATGTGGGGACAGAAGCAAGTACAAAGTTTGAGGCTAGTACCCCTTGGAAAGTAGGCCAGTACTGGGAAATGAGGCGTTGTCCGCCTTTTTGTTGAGTATGTATACCCACCGATTGTACTGAGTGGTGCGATTCCACGCTGCAACTTTCGAAGTGCATTCACGTGTCGGTAAATAAGGCTGTGGTTCGAACGGAATTGTTTCACTAACTCCAGTCGGTGTGATAACTTGTTTTCACGAACCAACTGTACCTATTAATTGCTCAGGGCTACGTACGCTGTCTCATTTTCCTCGTCAGGATTGTTAATGTGAAGGCGCCGTGTTCCCCAAGGTCATTAATTTTCATCTTTGGCTTCTCATGAATAAAGTTGCTTTAATGGGATGGTGGAAGATTTTTGCTCCCACGCTTCGGTAACTAGGGACGTGGTTTTCAAACATTTCTCCCGGACTATCT